CATCACCTGGACCCTGTCCTCCCCACCATCATCAGCATCACCTGGACACTCATTTCATCTTCATCTGTTGAACTCAACAAACAACAGTATCCAGCTTACCAGGCTGTTGTACAGATTGGGCTATTTCATATTATGCTCAAAAAAGTGGGTGCTGGGCTGAGCTGAAGGATTTAGTGGAGAGGTCAGTGGTTAAGAGCACTCATTGCTCTTACTGAGGATCTGGTTCCCCGAGCCCACGTGCTGGCTCACGGCTATCCCTAACACCAGTTCCAGGGAATCCGGCACTCTCCCCTGGCCTCCAAGAGCACTGCACATGTGTGGTGGACTTTCACCAAAAACACACACTCAACACAAACAAATCTGAAAACACATGGAGAGTGGGCACTTAGAAGGTGACACACGATCAGCAAGCACTATTATCACTGTTGCATGCTGAAATATGCTTCTTGTCAGCAGGGACAGCGCATCTGAGTTTCCTCCCATTTTAAGAGATGATTGTTTGTTCCCACAGTGACTCTTTCAACCCAATCCCTTCCCAAGCTACAAACCCGTCACCCCAGTCACTTCTCTAGGCCCGGACAAATGACAAGTGCCTTCCCGTCACATTTTACCTTCTCTCCTCATTTTCTAGCTTACTGAAAAAATCCAGAATTTTATCAATAATATCTGTATTTTATTAGTTATCAATACCTGTGTTATCTAATATCTAAGTCACTTTAATATCTACACTATGTGATTTCCATCATTTTATATTTGGGGTGGGGGAGTCTCCAGTTACTGTGTTTGTTGGCTTTAAAGTCAGTCTCGGGGGAAAACGAAAGGGAACACTGGACACCTGAATCACACACTTTTTCTGTATACCCAGTTCTATTCCCAGGTCAAATATGTGGAGGAATTACCAGAAAATCAGATTCCAAAGCCCATATGGTAAAATATGGAGGAGGCGTACCCTGCCCAGACTTCAACAAGGAGTCTCTGAGGAAGAAAATGCTGGTAGGTTCTAACGACTCCTTTACAGCACTGCACAAAAGAGAGATGAAACGCAGAGTCCGGAGCATCGAGGGCGCGAGAGGCAGGTCGTGGCGGGGCGGCAGAGGCTGCTGTGACCCCGACATCAGCAGGGACAACTACCTGTGCGAGGGCGAGGCCCACGTAGTCGATCAGGTGGGAATCACGAGGAGACCCGAATCTCTAATCTGCTGCGAGGCAGAAATCCCACGAGCACAAGAATCTCAAGTAAGGTTTGACACAGGAATGGAAAATGAATGCGCACCCCAAGTTGTATGGTGTGAACCGCCAGCTCCCAGAAGATGGGAATGTGTGAACAGGAAGAACGAGGAGGGCATATTGAGGAAACAGGATTCACGAATGAGAGCTGAAGACGGCCCCCCGGTCACATGGCAACCCCAACACACGAGAAATGTTTCACCAAGGAGAGCTGAGGGAGGCCCCCCGGTCACACGGCATCCCGAATACACCAATAATGCTGCTCCGCCTCCTGCAGCACGGCCTCCCCGAAGAGAAGCCCCAGCAGAGACACCCACAGCGTGGCCACCCCAAGGAGAAGCCCCAGCAGGGACACCCACAGCGTGGCCACCCCAAGGAGAAGCCCCAGCAGAGACACCCACAGCACCATCTGAAGCAAGTCTTGGACAACAGGGGGAATACCCCATGTAAGGGAAGAGTAAGAAGAGGAGAGATGGGAGTGGAGAAGACTGAGAAAGACAGGGCAAAGCCGAGCTCCCACTGTGACCTTCGGGTACAAGTTGAGTCTCAATCCCAGTGGATCATGGCTATAACATCCATTTTCTCTAGACATCTTGATTTTCTGCTATTCAGAAGTTTGCCACCACTAGACATATCCGCCACAAACTCCATCCTCCAAACTCTGCTTTAGAAGTCAATATACATACAATCCAATGAAGAAAGACGGTGTTTTCTGAAATAAAATGTCTTTACTAAATATCTAATAAGTTCCTTTGACAGTATTCTATCTCTAGTTTACCCAGTTAACCTTATGATCTTGGTGGTTGCAAATGCTTTATTAGTCATAAAAAAAACAGAGAAAATAAAAGTCAGATTTCCTGCAACCAAGTAGTCTACGGCAGAAATAGAGACAAGGTAAGCACAGTCATCTTTCAGAGCCAGTCTTAAAATGCGTCCAAAAGTAGTTTAAAGGGACAGGCTGGTAAGAGTTTAGAAATAAAAGGGTCAGAAATCTCAAAAAAGGAAAATCCCTGTCCCTTTGATGGGGAGAGAGCAATGACACGTGACAAACGGTGGAGTAGATGTAGACCCATGAAGTAGAGAGAGCAGAAGGCAGGCAAGGGATCCACGGCATGAGCCCTGCTCCCGGGCACACACTGGTGCGCAGCTGAGACTAGCCAGGGCGAAAGTGGGGTTCTGAAAATGGCGGTGGAAAAGAGGTTTCTAAAAACAAACCTAAGTTTACACTTTACTCTCTGGACAACTGAAAAGCTTCCTGAGTGTTTGAGGCAAGTGACTCACAGTGTTAATCTCGTGACTGTGCAGAGGAGATGGGAAGACACAGCAGGCAGGGAAGTGGTGGGCAGCTTGCCAGAGAGGCGACCTACAAATGGATTAAGTGGGAAATGAGGTGGAATAGTATCGTCTTATCAAAGGAAGCTCGTTTCTTAAGTGAGATTACAGGAACCGATGAGGGGTGCCGAGCAGTCTTACAATTGAGAAAGTAGTGTGGTTAAAATAAAATAAGATAAAATAAAATAAAAACCCATAGATTGGGTTTTAAAAGAAAACCAAAGGAATTCTTAATCTGCAGAGATCACACACAGAGGCTGAAATAGCACACTTAGTCAGTCACTCACTAACCTTACTTAGAGACCTCTGGAAAAGGAAGAAGTGCCCTTTGCTGACAGTCCTTAAGGCAACTGCTCATGTGAAAATCCTTTGCTTTAGGGGTTGTTAAGGTGGCTCAGCAGGTAAGAGCACTGCATGCTCACAGAGCCCTGGATCTGACTTCCAGTACCCACAGAGTTCACAGCCTTTGGTAACTCCACTTCCCAGGGATCCAGCGCCCTCCTCAGGCCTTCTCAGGCACTGCATACATGTGCACAGATGTGCAGCCAACACCCATGTCGTAAAAGATAAAGGTTCTCTTTTAAAAGATAAATAAAAGTAAAAATAGAGCCTGCGTGATGGCAAGTTCTTAATCCCAGCACTAGAGAGGCAGAGACAGAGGGAGGCATAGCTCTGTGAGTCTGAGGCCAACCTGGTCTACACAACAGTGAGTCTGAGGCCAACCTGGTCTACACAGCAGTTCCAGGCCAGCCATACATAGTGAAACTCTACCTCAATAATAATAATAATACTTTAAATAAAAATTGAAAAGTACTTACCTTCAGCTAGAGAGGTAACCCAGTTCAGAGCTGTGGGGGGCCCTTTTTTCCCCTCATGTCCTCTTAATTTCTGTCTTCCTGTCCTGCCTCAGAAAGTAAGCAGTTGGCTGGTGGCTCAACGGGTAACTTTGCTTTCTTTCAGCCAAACCTGAAGCCAGGACCCACACAGTGGAAAGGAGAGCACCTACTCCAAGTTGTCCTATGACCTCCGCACATCATACATGCACACACACACACACACACACACACACACACACACACGCACACACACAGCTGTGACTCGGGCCAGAAGAGGCTGGAGTGGGGTCCCGTGAGCACATGGAGAGATGCATTGCCAGGACAGACCCCGCCATCCTCCAGCTCCCCTTCTGCTCTTGGCATGCTGCCCTGCACACGCTTCCCGCCACTGCCTTCTTTTGGTTTCCCTTTCCACTGGTGCCCCCTCAATACCTTCCCCCAGGTTCCCATCACCAACTTCCTCCCAGTTCCCTTCTCTACCTCCTCGGTAATCCCCTCGCTACCGCCCACCCAGGTCTCTCCGGTTGTGTTCCCACTGTGTCTTCTCCTTTCCCTGGCCCTAATTCTCCCTCTCCACCTTCCCCACCTAGTTCCGATCACCACCTTGGCCCTTCAGTTTCCTCCCCCACCCCCGTTCTCTTCTCCAAGTGTCTTTCCACGCCAATTTCTCTCTTACTAAGTCATTCTCTCCCTCATTTCCCTCCAGTCGCCCAACCCCTTGGACACCACCTTCTCTCCTCAGAGATCGACCTCATTCTCCTAATCATTTGCCCCTCCTGCCAGGTTCCACTCACAATTTCCCACAATTGAGCTCTCTGCTCTGATTGGTCCTTTTTATGAACGTTCTGCCTCAGTTTCTTTCTGCACAGGTGTCTGCTCATCCCCCTCCACCCTAGCTAACTCCACGTTCTCCCCTCAGGCTCCCTTAGTTCTGAACCCAGGAACCCCCTGAGTCCTCAATCTAAGCGAGATGACCAACTGCTAAAGGCCTCTCTCTCTTCCCTGATACAAGCCAGCAATATCCTAGAAACTAGAAACCCTGTTTACAGAGAAGAGACACCTACTAAACCCCACACAACACTATTGTCTTCTGGTTTTTCTCCTGCAAGGAATCTCAGAGCCACACTAAAACCTCACTTGCCAGAAGGAGGGGGCATGAACTGGAGAGAGGACTCAGTGGTTAAAAGCACTTGTTGCTCTTGCAGAGGACAGAGGCTCACAACCATGTGAGACTCCAGTTCTGGGGGATCTGGCGCCCTCTTCTGTCCTCTGTGGTCACTGCATACACATGGTGGGCAGATATACAGGCAGGCAAAACACCATACACATAAAAATAAATCTTGCCCGGTGGTCATACTTTAATCACAATACTCAAGAGGCAGGCAAATCTCTGTGAGGTCGAGGCCACCTGATCTACAGAATTGAGTTCCAGGACGGTCAGGGTTACACAGAGAAACCCTGTCTCAAAAGACAAATCATCTTTAAAAAAGACAGAGAGAGAAAGAGAGAGAGAGAGAGAGAGAGAGAGAGAGAGAGAGAGAGAGAGAATGGGGGGATTTTTTAGTAGCACTTTGGGGATGTAACTTGAGGACCACCATGCTGAGTGCTTAGACAAACACTTGTCCATCATAACCCAACAATTAGGCCTCACTCGCTGCAGTGCTCCCTAGAGAAGCCAGGATGTGTGCTGGGCTGTGTCTTCCTTTCTCTCTTAGAGAAGCCCAGGCCCATATACTTTAGAGCATCTTAGTCTCTTCCCTGCCTGTGTCTCTTTCTCCTAACCCTCATGACTAAAGCCTATATTTAAAAATTTTTTTTGAAAGACTCTCCAATTCGGCTTTATAATAGCTCTGCCATGATCGAGACCTGGCCTGAGTCAAGGTCCCCGTGTTAGTCAGGGTCCTCTGGAGAAGGAAGAGAAGGGGCATCGACTGGAGTGGCTTATGGGCTGGGGTCCAGCTAGTCCCACAATGGTGGTCTCCCAACGGAAAGTCCAAGAATCCAGTAGTCGCTCAGTCCACGAGGCTGAGGGTCTCAGCTGGTCTTCAGTATTCACAGAATCCCAAGTAAGCAGGCTCTGAGACCAGGAAAGGAATGGACTTGCCAGCAACAGTGGAAGCCAGCAGGCAGAGAGAGCAAGCTGTTTACATAAACCGCCAGCAGAAAGTGTGGCTGAGGGTGAGAGCACAGAGCCTTCTGCGGCCAACAATCCTCCGGCCCACTCTCCTCACTCCCACGGCCTCTTCTGCACAGACAGCCTCATTCTGACCCAAACGACCTCCACCCATTCCTCATCCACCCCCACAAAGCTCTTCCTTCCCCCCAACCCTCACCTCCCCATCTCTCTCCACCCCTCCATCTTGCCCTCCACTGGCCGCTTACCCTGCAGTTCCCTCCCTCCCACAGCTTCCGAAAGGACTGATGGGGAGGAAGGCTGGACACTGTGCTCAGCCTGAGCATCTGTAGGAGGAGACAGTGGTCCAGATGCTGTCCACACCTTATTTTGTGCAACCAGGAGTCCAGCGTTCCCTCAGCACCAGGTTTTACTCTACAAGGGTCAGTAGAATTACTAAATAAAATAATTACTTTGTAATTATTATTTCATTACTAAATAAAATACCTTGTCAAGGCCAGTTAAATTTTTTATAAGAGAACAAGTACATATTCTTGTCGACTTATGTCCATCACAACAGCTCGGTTGTTGGTACCAAAGCAGCCATACGTACTATACAAATGAGTGAACACTGCTGTGTTCCAATAAAACTTTATTTATGGATATTGAAATTTGAATTTCATTTTTACTCATAGCACAAAGTACTATTTGACATTTTACATTAAATAAATGTTTACATCAGTTCACAGCACATACCTACACACACACACACACACAAAAAAAAAAAACAGTCAAACACGGTTTGGCTCAGAGGAGATAATTTTTCAAACTCTGCTTGAAGAATCAAGCACTAATAAACCAGAAAAGCTTTAACTTAATAAATTTGTCTACTTCAGGTTGTCCTTTGTTCTACTTTACAATCCTGAGGGCTGAACCCAGGACCTCACACATGAGGATCTCGAATTTCTGGACTCTACAACACATTTCCCAGAAAGAAGCCGTAGGCACCTCGTCTCAGCTAGGGCTGCTGTGCTGTGGTAGACACCATGACAAACGTAGGCAACAAGGAGAGGAGACGGTTTGTTCCAGTACACTTAGAGGAGGCTGCGTCCTGGCTTTCTCCCACCGCTTGCTCAGCTTGTCTCTCACAGCACCGGGACCAGCAGTCCAGTGTAAAGATGCGTTGCTGTTCCACTTCGCCTGCCTAAGGCATCTGACGGGTTTAGTAAAAAGCTGAACACCCAATAGCTAGGCAGTAGAGGAATGGGCAGAGCTGGTGGGCAGAGAGAAGAAGGAGGAGGAAGGATCTAGGCTCAGGGGAGAAGGGAGAAGAGAACAAGGGAGAAAGAGAGGGACATGCCATGGGGAGCCAGGCAGCCACCAGACAGACGCACGGAGAGCGGGATATATAAAAGGAAAGAAAGGTAAGAAGTCTTGAGCAAAGCGGGGATGAAGAGA